TGCAGGTATGTGTAGAACAGCGTATTTTTTGCTATGTTAGAAGTAAATGTTACTTCTTCCAACTATTCCTCAAAATTCTTCCTGTGTTGTCCACTGTTGCCTTCTTTCCTCAATCATCTGCTATAATCTCTAAACATGTGACTCACGTTCCATTTTTATATTAATCTTGATCTGTTTGCTACATATTTCTATGTGCATTTTTTCTGTTTTCTCCAACTGGATTGTAAATTAGCTGTTGTCAGATCTGGTTTCTTGAGCAGGAATTGGGCTTTTCTGTTACACACTGAGTAATTCTTCCATCCTTTTCTGTTTATAATTCTTACCTAAAGGAAGGGGTGAATGTGAAACTCTTAATTGGCTTAAAGAAACGGTTGTCTTCAAAAGAAGTTATTTCAAAATGCATCTGTAAAAACATCCAAATATATGGATCTTGAAAGATGTAGTATCACCCTCTCTAGTTAAAAAAACTAATGTTTACTTGAACCACTGATTTTTTCTTTTTAATAAAGGGGGAAAATACTTGAATACCAGGAGCTTTGTTGAAGTTGACATACTTTGCTTAATGCAGTAAATTTACTATTTAAAAATAATACCCACGAAAGAAAGCATCTGTGAATAAAGTCACATCTTACCTGAAATTAATCTCTAAATCTGAGAAACTTGGCAAACAGCCCTTCTTAGCTAAAAATACCTGATCCTACATGAGTTGTGCTTTTACTGCTGTGCTTACTGAACATCTAATAGTAGTAAAAGCAGATTTAGGACTGTCCAGAGTACTTAGTTACTTTTGAAGGTTGGGCAGAACATTTTTACTGACTTCAGATGTTAATAAAGGGCAGGTCTGCTTTTTCCTCTAGTGTAAAAGTTACTGAGACAGGTGTCTCTGAGAATAAAATCTTGCTTTAATGAACTTAAGTGTAGAACATTAAGTGTAGAACTTCAGGTTTGCTTTGCTCAGAACCTCACTCTGTCCATTCAGCTTCCTCTGTTGGAATTAATTCCCTTTACTAGCAGTATGTCACCTTGTTTTTTAAGTTTAAGCCTCAGTGTGAGAGATTTCACTCTGGAAAATTTTGTAAATGTACTGGTCTCTTGCACACTTGTGGTGATGTATGGGTGTCTTACATGTAATTGGCTTTCAATCTCGTACTTAGGAAATGCAAGGTTTCAATAGACATGAAATTGCTGAGGCCATGGTTTTGGCCATAAAAGATATTTTTTTATTGCTGTGATCTCTTACTGGGTAGAGCAACAACTAAGCAATTACAAAAAACTTGAAGAGAAAAACTTTGTAAACTCATATATTTCCAAACTGTTGCCTTAAACCTTTAGGCATGGCTGTGAATGGTTTCTGTCTGTTGGTATGGAATGTCAGTATCTTACCAGTGATTTGAAGGAAACTTTGAAAGTATTGCATGACTATCCAGATCCCTTATTTATCATGACAGAAAAACTGTGTTTGGAAACAAATACAGTATATGATAGATAATAAAGCTTGAAAAATGGGATGATGATGAACTGATGTTACAGAAGGAATGAAATATTCATGTCATCTAGCAAAAAAATCTGGGCTATTCAATAGCTACCTTAAGTGTAGGATCACTGCATATGTCTTGGTGGAGGAGTATATTTTTGCAACATTATTGAAATTTCTGAGTAAAATGTGCCTTAATTCGTAAGTAAAAAATTGCTGTGAAATCTTTTAAAGCAAATGTAGATTTCACATGAAAAAGTGGACAGATTGCTATTAATATTTTGGCCATTACTATGGCATCTTTTTGATGTATGAATAACTTTTAGAACAAGGGCTGTTGTAGCATGTTCTTAATTATAACATATCATCAGTTCCATTTACTGCTAATTACTTTACAAGGTCAAGAGAAGAGTTTAAAATGAATGTGGTGGGGTTACTTGCAGAGTTTTTGGTACAACCAAATGTAGGTGAACCTAGTAGGGAAATTTCCCCTTAAATTGCTTTTGGCAGATCTCATTAGTGTCTAAGGCAGAAGGCTAACCCAATGGGAAAGGACCTTTAAAGGTTGACTAATATGTAACTAAATAACATTTTTGAGAGGTGGGGAAAGCTGATGCCAGTAATTAAATTTCCTTATGTTAAGCTTCTTACAATAACTATAAAAAATATTTTAATGGTCTTATGTATGGGGTTTCCACTGTGCTCATGGTAGTACTTCTGAATATTTGATTGTGACAGTAGTGGACAACTTTGTGGTGTTTTATTTTTCATGTTTTGGTACCTCAGTCAAGGCATTAGCATTAAAAATTATTCAAAGTTTTAATTTAGCTTCAAATGCCTAAATGAGTTTGAAATTAGGCTAGTATATCAATAAGAACTAAAACCCCCAAAACCAAAATAACCCCAAAGAACTGTATTCAGTTTAGGTGTGGGGGGAAAATCTTAAATTATTTAATTTCTGTCTTAACTGAGGATGATTTGAATGCTTGAAACAAAGAATTTCTGAAAATTTGGCTGTTCGGTTTCTGGTTCTGAAAGTGTGACAGTCCTGTGGTTGAATACTATTACAAGTACGCATGTTGCACAATGCAAAGCAAAGTGAATGACCAGATCCTGCATTCCACTTCCATGTGCTGTACTTCTTTTTCCATTGTACTTAAAACAAGGAAGTCTATAGAGGAATATAAAACAGGACATATGGGCAGTTATGAAAGTCGGACTGAGGCTTGTTGTGCTGGTTCCATTGCTGTTCGCTTTGCTGTTACTGGTTATTTTGAAAAGAGAATGGGGAAACTGGAATGATGAGGCAGAGACCACTAGATGGCTCCACGGATTGTTGCTGTACTGTGGGTAATTTCTGCATCACTTGTAAGAATCTGCCCAGGATTTTCGGGGGAACGACATAGTGGTGGAGTTGGCTTTCAGACTAAAATGAGGTTAAAGCTATACACATTCAAAAGAATAAATTGAGGTTGGAGTGCAGATACTCAAAATCATGAAGACATTTGAAAACCTTTTTTCTGTGTGTCTCTCATACAGGTAGCATTGGTTTCAAAATTATGTTCTTAACACGTAGTAACTTCCTGTACTTGATTTTTGCACTTTAGGAGGAGTAGTATTGTTTTTGAAGTACATGGGCTTATTTTTCTTGGAAGAAAATGTAAAGATGGGGACATTTGATTTATATTTATCCATGTGGAAGTCATTTGATCAGTTGGGTTTGTCACTTACCTGTGGGCTTGGTTGCTGTTATAGGAAGAGTAAAGTTGGAATGTGGATCAGGAGTAGTATGGTGGCCTTGCTAAAGGCAACTAGTGTAACTTGTTACGATTTTCATCTGACTTCTGACACGTCCTTTCCCACCAGTAACTAAACCAGTCATTCCGTTTGTTTATAACTGTGTGTTTGCTGTTGCACTGTACATGTTTCATGAGCTGGAAAACTGGGTTAAGATGGTGGAATGTGTTGTCTCCAGTCACCATCTGTATACAGGAGACCAGTTTTCATGCCTGTTACATTGGTTTTGATGGATCTATGTCTTCGAAAAAAGGAGCATGGACAGTAGTTAAAAAACTTGGCTTCTTATTATAAACTTGGGTTTTCACTAAGCAGCATCAGCTTTAGTAGATGGGTCAGTCCAATGAAGATGATTGCCAGAGCAAATATCTCAGGTTTCCCTCTATTGATTTCTCTAGTGTTTTAACACTATGGAGAAATTTCAAATGGAATTTATGGATCCTGAAAGGGTTCTTGAACTTCTAATCATTCCTGCCCTACTTCTTTATAGTCTTGGTTAAAACTTCTATTTTTGATTCTTGAACTGATGATCTGACGTTGTTCATGATAAAAGTAGATGTTCTGGAATGTGTAATATGGAATGAAGCATCAGTTACATGTTTAAACTATGATCAAGGTACAGTAGTTGAATGTTTTAGTTTAAAGATATGATCTGTATTCCAACAGCATTTTTCTTTTAATTTTCCATAAAGAATCCAATCAGATGAAGAGTGTCAAAAGGAGTCTACGAATGAGACACCAAGATGGCAGTTCCGCTGTTGATTGAGAGGTTGAGGAAATGGACTAATGCATGAGTGCTGTGATATGTCTGTCCAAGAAAAGGATGTTAAAACATGGACTCTCGTGTTATTAAACCAGAGAAGATCTGGGTTGAGATCATCCTATCAAAATGGACTTTGCACTTGAATTAATCAGGGGACTGAATCAGTGTCTATCCAATGATGGATCTCTTTCAGGGCTGGGTGGCAAAATTTTACTCTTTTGTTGTGTATGCATAACAGGCAAATTCATTTGGTAAGAGATCTGTTGCTACCCCTTTGGAGAAAATGTAATGTTTTTTTAAGTGACAATAAAAGGTTTTGGTTTCTTTCATACTTTGTGTTTGTCCTTTCTGGCTGAATTTTTTTTTTTATTGTGTTGATATTGAAGTGGGTTATGGTTTTTTGTTGCTATTAAAGTGAGAAATACTTTAGCTGCTAAGCACTAAAGGCAAGGTAAAATTTTGTGCTATACTTGATTTAAAATGTGGTTTTCATTTGCAAATTATCTCCGCTATGCCATGACTTCCAATGAATTTTTATTCGCTGGTTTGTTCATTCAGGTGCTTAATGTTAGGGGTTTTTTTCAGTACTTGGCCTATTGTCAGGGTACTTCTGCTGAACTTTCTGAAGTTATTTTAAGATGGAATTGATATCAATTGAAGCCTGGACAAATATGACAATAAAGGAGTACTTGAATGTTCTGTGTAACTTTTTTAGGTATGCTTCTTCGGTTGTGTATGGGTACAGAAACTTTTCAACAGATTTCCTGGACAATGTACTTCCTAAACAGTCTATTCTGTCTTAAAATTGTTCTGTGCAAGTGTCCAATCAGCCTCACCGCTATTTAATGTAGGCTTAGCTGTGTGATACTGTACCATGTATTTGATGATAAAAAATGGAGTTATTTTTGATATTGCTACAGATGACATCTTAACCTTTACAAATTAATTTTAAAATGGTTCTAATGTTCAACCCCAAATTTCCTTAAGTTTCTTGTGGCTCGAATAGCTAAACTGTAGCCACCTCCCTATGTATGTTTCACCTGAAATTCACAGTTGTCTTTGTTTTATGCTGGAGGGCCAAGATGACAAACCTGGTCCTGAGAATAACCTAGGTGTTTTCTTTTAAAAACAAACAAAATACAAAAAAACCCAAACAAACCCCCATTGTGTGTGTGTAACCATTTGGCTTGCTGGGACTTCTTTGTAAATATGCATTTTTACCATGATGAATTGTTCATACCTGTTCCATCCAGCTATTTTGATCACTCAAGTTTGGTTTTGCCACGTGTTATATGGTGGAGTTGGATACTGGGGCCAAGCTAAAGGGATCCCCAGACAAGTGGATTTCCTTAGTGTTGCCCAAAATTGCTTGGAACAGTCTTGAATTGTGTTTTTCGGTTCTTGTAGTTTAGGTGCAAGGGGTCTTCTGTAATCGGTAAACTGAAATTCTTTAAAATGGACTGTGGTGACGGAGTGCACCTACTGAAACCTCTTGGTGTGGAAGGGTGATAGCTTGTTGGAGCATGCGAATGGCAAGCGCGTGGAGGAGTTGATGGGGACTGTCTTGGTCCTGCTGGTAGGAGCCAGTGTTTTCAGGCTGTTGGGATGCTGTGCCATGGCTGTCCCCAGAGAAGCCCAAACTAACCCATTACTCCCCTCCCCCCCAGCAGTCCCTCAAAGTCTGATTTCATGGTCTTGTTGTGATGCTTACGAATACGCAAGATATCCTTGTATTTTAAGGAGTCTGTTGTTTGTGGGAAGGCAACTGGTAGTCAGAATGCAGGCGGGTAGGGGATGCTTGGATCGCCTCCATTTTCTCTGTGATGCATCCTCTCGATACTAGGGTGTTGTATTTGAGATGTTGTTTGATTTTCAGTTCTACAGCTTGGCTATTATATGGCTTTAAAACTCATTTGTTGTGTTAAAATCTGTTAACGAACATTAATGGGTTAAGAATGTGAATTCAAAATAACCCTTTTAATGGTGTTAGACTTATTTTACAGTAGTGCCTTCTCCTAACTGATGAAAATTGTGTAGCTGTTGGATTTTTGTTGTTGGGGAAAACCAGTAGGGAGGCGCTGTCGAGCTGGAGGGGGCTGTCAGCAACGCAGGGCTCTCTGGGGAGCGCCTGACGCTCTGGTCCCAGGCATTAAGTGCCAGTGTTGGGTGACGAATGGAGGAGCTATTGTCTGGGGATACTGCCACCGAATTTAAAAAAAGCTACCCCTTGGGTGGGGTGAACCCCAAGGTGGGTTGTTGCTGGCTGCAATGGCTGTTAGCTCCACTTCCATTCTTTCAAAATGGCTTGTAACAGCACCACTTCCTGTCCAGGGAGGAAGTAATTTTAGCCCAGGCACTGAAATATTTAGCAAATCTTTAAAACAAAAGGCACAAATTCCATTTCTTTCTGGTTTCAAAAGGGTGCCTGAGCCACATGGGGTTAAGGTGCCCCTTCAGCTGGGGTAGTTGGAAGAAGCCAGGGGCTGTGGGGGTAGCAGGCACCCTTTAGGTGGAGGCTATCTCTTTTTTTGGTAGAAATGAAGGGGTGGGTCTATGGTACATCACCTGAGTTGTGGGGTAAATGTAGAGAGTGTCAATCAAAGGCAGAGCTCAGAGCTGGGAAGGAGCTCTAGATGGCGGCTGTGCCTTAGAGAGAGCGCGCTCAGCTCCGTGCCTTCCCCAACACTTTACGCAACTTTCCCTAACTTTCGGGCAGCCTCAGGGGGCCCCCACAGCCCCTTGCCTCTCCTAGGCACTAATCGGGGGCTGAGCGGACCTTTTTCGGGCAGAAAAGCAGCTTTTGAGGGCTCCTTTTTCGTGCCTTGCTGGAAAGAAGAAGCCGTGGAGAGAGCCCAGGTCGTTGTTTTTCCAGCTTAGAAGCCATGGCGTACCTCCATTTTTGTGCGCTCTCCTAATGAGCTTTTTCCCCCGGACATTTTTGTACTAATTATCGCTTCTTTTGCTTTATCGGCAACATATTTTTGGGATTAGAGTATATATTTTTTTTCATTCTCTGAAATTCGTATTTTATCATTATAACTCTAAATATTTTGGATCTAATGTTTTTCCACTACCCGCAACTAATATCGACTTGGTCCTGGCGGCGGTGCATGGATCAGGTAGGTGAGCAATTAATAATAATAATTTTTAGATTTTTGCCGTTTTAAGTAGTTTGATTTTCGACCGATTTGAGCTGTATTGGGATGACGCAATAAGATACAGAGATTATTTGCATCCAGTGTTACTTTGGGAAAGTTTGCAGGATGCTCCTCTACTGTGTTTATTCTCTGATTTTTCTTCTAAAAACGATTATTTGTTTTAAATCTCCGTTTTGCCGTGTTGATCAGTGTTGTGTATTGTTATAACAATATCATTGCAGCGTCAGGACTTTGTTCCTGATAATGAAAGCCAGTGAAACGAACTGGGACCTTACCTTTCTTTCAACTTTTGACAGTAAATACCTGGGCACAGGACTTCAAAGCAAACAGACACCCCTGACCCCCTCTTAATATTTAAGAATAAAAAGATGATGAGAAATAAGGACAAAAGCCAAGGAGAGGAGGGTTCAGTCCACAGCAATGCATCGAGGTATGATCTATCAACTTACTTTTTTTTTTTTTGGTAAAACCTGTGAATACCCTGTTTACTTTGACAGCCTTGGGATACTGTCAGTGCTTAATACAAAACATTTTACTGATTTTGCTTCCTTTTTAAGGAATGACCTTGAGATTGTTAGCATGCCACACCCTAATTTTTTTTTGGTAGCAATTTCTGAAAGTTGTGTTGTGACTTAAGGGCCCATGTCATAGTCAAAAGGTACTGTACCTTTATTCAGGGGAGCCCTTTCCTCTGTATTATGTTTTTCCAGCTTTTGAATTTCAGTTTTTAGGTTTTTTGTGCTGTGAAAAATGACCTTGTCGGTTTAGCCATTGCTGCATTGCACCATTTTACATACAAGGCAAATTTTTCTTTGAAGAATCTCAGAAGTCTAAACTTTAACTGAGGGCCATACAGAAGCCTGGTGTAGTAGTAAATTATAGTAAATAGACACAAGAAAAAGTTACATGAATGAAAAAAAGCTCATTTTAAAATATAAACTGGAAAGTGCCTGTTTGTTTGATACCCCTTACTTCAAATTTTATTTGAGCTTGTAGAACTTTGATACTGTTTAGGTATTTTAGAATATTTTTATACAATTTAACCAGACTTTCTCCTGCTGGTGATGGCATTTCGTGTCATAAAATATACACTGTGACTGTTAACAAGAGGCTTCAAATGCTTTGCTTGTTTGTTTAATGTATTTTTGCTCAGAGTGTTTTTATTTACTTTTGTTGAGTAATGAGATTCTTTACAGATTTTTATAAACTTAACCTTGATATGGGAAAAGTATGAAATACTGGAAATGTTTGTTTGCTAGGAATGCAGAAATATAATTACAGAATTGCTCATTTTGTATTTAAAAGGGTTGGCTTTTACAAAAATTGGAAATTAAACTACGTGCATTTTTGTTTTCTAGTTTGTGAATACACTTGAGTTTTGCATTTTGTTAATTTTAATTGAATCGTGGTCTGTTTATTTTTCTCTGGTGTTGTCTTCAGTAATTTTTAACCAACAATAATAAAAAAGAATTCTGAACTGTCTGTTGTATCACATGTGCTCTATGTGATGTTTGCAGGTGTTTGAATAGTATTCTTCATGTCCAGTATTTAACCTTCCTTAAACACACAAACTTGAAATACTGTGGGAATACATGTATTATCAAATTGCTGTAACCTTTTAGCATAAACTTGGATGGTATTCTGGATGTATTAAAATTGCAGTCAAATTTAAAATCCTAAAGTGGATGTGGGTAAGTTTGTTTAATTTGAAATTGCTAATAACTAAATTAGCCTCAGGGACTGTTGAAGCATTACATACAGCACCTATGCACAGCATTTACAATAATGCAGTTTAAAAACACATCAGACTTTCAAACCGTGCAGTCTTTATATTACTGTAAATACTGCACACAAAATATTGCTTAAAAAGTCAATTTTTGAAAGAAATTACTTATGATTCAACTTACGTAAGTCTTCATGCTTTTTTTTAAAGTGCAGATTATCAGCAAGAGCAGTAAAAGATATAATTTGTTCAGAAAATCTAAATTAAGGTATTTTATCGGCGTTGGAAATATTAGGCTGGATAGGAGATGAAATTGGAGACATCTAACAGTAGTTCCACAGGAAGAAGACCTTTGGGTTTTTTGTCCTTAGGGGTATTATATTTGCATAGTGTCTGGTGTGCTTTTGGTGTTTTCATTGAAAGGTTATTTGCTGTAACTGATCGATTTACATGTAACACCTGTTGCGTGAGGTTACCCTTCTCCCCCTTCACTATTTTTTTTTCTCAAAATAAACTTGCCGTGGGTAACATCCACTCACCTGAAGTGTGGGAAACAATTGAGGACAGGATATTTGTAAGTGAGCCCTGTCGAGCTTATTTCTGAGCTGTGAGTCAGCTGAATGTCGTAAAATGGGCTTTACTTCCTGAGGTTGACTTGAAGTTGCAGGGGAAATGATTTCTAGGAAGTAAAGCCACCACTTTGCTTTACTGTAGCCCAGAAATGCACTGATGCCTGCACTTCACGTGCTGCTGCCTAGCTTTCACCCTGCTTGTGAGACCAGCTCGGCATCCGTGAAGAATACATGAAGTCCTGTTACATAAACCCTGGTGGGAGGCCTGGGTGATGGAGATGGGTGGAAAAGGTAGATATGGCCGGTGCCGTTCACCTGAGCTGGAGAAGCGAAAATGCAGGACTGGAGAGAGGTGTTAAAGCAGAAGAAAATTCAATTCCTGTACACCACCTTGGCGTCCTAACTGGGGAATATCTTTTCAATTGACTCCTACCTCTCCAGTCCTAAGAAAGCACAAAGACATATGCTGAATAGACAAAAATACCTGGGAATTGTCCCCAAACAGGTGATTATTCTTGGGAAGGGAAATGGTGTTAACCCTTTACAGTTTGTAAGCAGAGGGGTGTACTTGGCACCTTTCTAGATGAACAGCAACACCTGTCCTTTGTATATTGACAGTAAATCTTCCCAAACTCGAAGCTGATCCATTTCATGCAACTTTCTCCACCTAAGATAAAAGCTGGGATGCTGCAGTTACTGATCACCACCACCTGTGTATCTGGGACTTGCATTAAATAATTGAACAAAATCCTGGTGTGTTTTCTAGTATCTTCTATGCTGCATTTCTGAAAGGCAGGTGTTGTGAGAGGGGACATCCATGGTGCAACCCTGATGTGAATGTCAGAGGTGAGAGGCAGCCTGGGGTCCCCCCAAAGCCCAGGAGTGAGTTTTGTAGGGGGTAGCAAGTAATTAATGGTGGATACATTGTTCGTCTAGTTTTCCCTGGCCTGCCTATGTTGCAAGTTGCTCTTGCATCTTCTGAATACACCCTGGTGCGGGAATTGTTTCTGCTACAGAAGCTGCAGGGCTGAGCAAACCCTTGCATCCGTATCCAGCTTTAAAACATCATTTTTGGGAGGAAAAGAGAGGTTGCGGTGGGTTAGAACTCAGCCTGGTTTCTATTTGGAGAGCTGGAAGTCTGAGGTCTGAAATGGTGGGGTTTTTTGCTCAGTGGCCACCTTACAGAGGCAGAGTGCTCCGCAGCGTGTGCTGCAGCCTTCGCAGAGCAGAACACCCTCGTTTTACGTGGCAGCCATTTTATGAAGATGTAGTTACATACGAAAGAGGATTGGGGTGGGGGAGGAGGGAAAGGAAGACGTTAAACAAAAATTGCCCTCCCTGGCTGCTGCTGAAAGCGGAGGGCATCCCCTTCTCGTTTTGGTAGGGCTCGGGAAGCCCCGATTCCTGGTGAAAGGAGAGGGGAAGGCTGCACCGCCTGGCATTTTGGTGCGGGTCCAGTTGAGTCACAAAATGGCTGTTCCTTTGTGCCGCATAGCTGACAGACATACTGCATTGCACTGTGTGTACTCTAAAAACAGCAGGAAGTTGCTGGTGGGGAGTTCAAAGGCCATCTTGTGCTCGCTGGGGACGGGGATTGGCTGCGCTCCCTGGT